TGTAAGAGAACAAGCAATAATAAACGCTTTATTTTATTGCATATACTGTATCTGTATATATGTATGGTTTTCGATCAATTATTACATGGACATACCGTCCATATGCGCAATCTTTTATCTATCACACCTAGTATCATCATCATCATCATGTCCCATAGGCTTAGCGCCCGTTGGGGCCAACCATTTTTACGGGATCAGATTTTTCCACGCCTGCCGGTCTTGTGCGAGGTGGAACAGCTCTTGTCCACTGCGTTGACACCACTCTGTTATGTCATCCAGCCACTCTCTGCATGGACGCCCCCGGCGAGATTTTCCTTCCATGTTCGAAAATATGATGTGTTTGATTAATCTCGTATCATCCATTCTGCAGATGTGGCCAAATAACCGTAGTTTTCTCTCCTTGATGGTGTCTATTATCGTCTCCTCTTTTGATATCTTTTTCCTGATATCTTCGTTTCGTATCTTATCTTGCCAATTTATTCTTAGAATTCGTCGGTAGCATTTCATTTCAAATGCTAATAGTTTTTTCCTGTCTGCTTCTTTTAAGGTCCATGTCTCTGACGCGTATAATAGGACGCTGAAGACGCATNCCTCTTTTCTCAAGTGAGTCTTCGAAAAATAGTGATACTTGTATAGCGAAAAATGGGTGATTAGAGCTATATTTTGGCGTAATTTGAGACGAGATTATTGTGAAAATTTATGAAAATACACAAAAAAAGAATGTCAATTAAAAAGCTCCCATGAAAAATCATCTTTGGTCTTAGTGAATATTATATAGATTGATGGTCCAAACATCGCTCTTTCGAATGGTGAAAACCGCAGGTCTAGATCTTGTTCCTATCAAAAGTTATTCGCAATTTAAGAGTGGTAGGCCACTTTTGGAGCACCCTGTATATTAGGATTTAATAATCTTATGTCGACTAAAAATTTATCATAATCATTCGCATGTAAATAAGTAGATATAGAAATGAAATATTGCTTTTGTAAATAAATTGAAAGTAACGAATGCACTTGGTTTTTGTTGGAGTGTAGGACAGATGTGGATGTCATGGAAACCGATCAACAATGAGAATCGATGGACAAAACAGAAAATAATTGGGCAACGATGTTCTTAGAGATAAGTGATAAATTCTCCTGGATCGGGGGTGTCAGTAGGGATGCAACGGTGACGATAACGGTAGATACGGTTACCGGTTCAAACCATTGCCAAGAAAAACAGCATTTTAGAGAAAAATAACGATATTTTATAAAGGTTGACGAAAGTAAATCGGGGCCGGAGAATCCGAATCTGAGTTCAGTTTTTGAAAAAATTGAAATGAATTTTTTCGACAAAGGAAGGGTTTTTTAAGAAAATAACGATGTTTTATAAAGGTTGACGAAAGTAAATCGAGGTCGGAGAATCCGAATCTGAAATCAGATCCTTGCACGTTTCAGCTTTCACTTTCCAAGACTAAATCGCTTCTTGAAAATCGTGTTTTTTTCTCGAAAAATTTATTCCTGAAAAAACATTGTATGTGAAGACTAAAAGTCAAAATTTTCAAAAACTGACTTCAGATTCGGATTCTCCGACCCCGGTTTACTTTCGTCAACCTTTATAAAATATCGTTATTTTCTTAAAAAACCCTTCCTTTGTCGAAAAAATAGATTTGGAAATTTTCAAAAACTGAACTCAGATTCGGATTCTTCGACCCCGATTTACGTTCGTCAACCTTTATAAAATATCGTTATTTTTTTCTAAAATGCTGTTTTTCTTGACAATGGTTTGAACCGGTAACCGTACCTACGGTTACCGTAGTGGAACCGGTAACCGTACCTACGGTTACCGTAGTGAGACCGGTAACCATACCTACGGTTATCGGTTTAGAGCAGTGAAACGGTGACGGTGAACCGGTGAATGATCGTCACCGTTGCATCCCTAACTATTACAGTTATATTGAATATCAAACAGTTTCAACAATTACTGCCAACGCCATAGGCATGTCTAATCTGCTTGATCGATGTTGTCAGTACTATCAAGGACATCAATGCGAGCTGGTGACTATAAAGTAATTTGCACGACAATATCAACGAATGGATGCTGTGCATTGGTTCACCAAAGATATCGGGTGTCCCAAAAGTACGGAAAAATAGTATTTTTTTCGATTTCTATCTTATAGATTGTCGGTTAGCTCTGATATTTATACCACATATACTAGGTGTGATAAGTAAAAGATTAAGCATATGAACGATATTTAGATGTAGTAATTGATCCAAAAGCATTCAACGACAGAATGACTAACAAGAAGGAAAAACTTGTGAATTCCAATAAAACTTTTATTAGAAGTTCTGACTAAGAAAAAAACACGTACAAAAGTATGTCTTTGGGGAGTGTTCTTATTATGAAGTTTTTCACAAACACTGTTCAATATATTTACCATATAAGTCTTTGAAAAGTTGAAGTCTCTCAGGTACTGATTGGTAAGCGCTTTGACAAAATTGCATGGGTAAACTTTGTATTTCAGTGATTACAGCATCTTTTAGTGCTTGAAGATTTTGAGGTTTCGTCGCGTATACACGCTCCTTGATCACACCCCATAAAAAGAAACAATCTGTGTGAGGTCTGGAGATCGTGGCGGCCAGTCAATCTATCCCCGTCGACCAATCCACCTGTCAGGAAATGTTTTGTCCAGAAAGTGTCGAACAAATTGAGTGCAATGAGCCGGCGCTCCGTCGTGCATATAGACTATCTCTTCTAAATCCATTTGACTTGAAAAAGCGGGAACAATATCTTTTTGGAGCATCTCGAGATACCTCTCTGCAGTAACCTTATCATGAAAGAAGAACGGTCCGATGATGCCTTCAATCCAAATTCCAGCCCATACAGTGATACCTGGAGTATTCATTTTTTGAGTAATGATAACATGGGGATTTTCTACGGCGTAATAAACGCAATTGTATTGATTGACATGACCGCTCAACTTGAAAATGGCTTCATTGGTTCAGATAATTCGACTAAGCGAGGAAGAGTCGTCAGTTAACAAGTTGAGAAAGATGTCGGCACATTCACAACGTCTGTTGGGATCGTCTTTGTTCAAAGCATGCAGCAACTGAGGACGATACGGCTTCAATCCCACCTCTTTCACCATTCGTTGAAGGCTACTTTTAGGCAGATTCAGTTCCGAAGAAGCACTTCTTATTGAAGTTGCGGGACTTTCTTCGAAAGCAGCACGAATACCTTCTCCATTCTCATCGGTACTAACAGGTCTAGGATGACCACCAGATCGAGGTTTATCTTCGACGCGTTCGGTTTCGTTAAACTTTCGTACAAGACTCAAAATGTTCCTTGATGTTGGAGGAGTTCGATCGAAACCATTTTGAAATTGACGAGCAACTTCTGATGCATTTTGGTAAATGGCGTACCATTTCACAATTTCAATTTTTTCACGTAACGACTAACGACAACTTTTACTCATGGTGAAGAAAATGTGAAAAAAGTTAGAGCTGTGTAAACAACATAAAATGTAAAGAGAACTAAAAAATAAACCCGTCGATAAAAGAGATAATCACTAGTATTGTTGTCTTCTAGATGCTACGCCTCCCACATATAAGTACTACAAGAGAGCAAACAATAATATGCGCCGTCTTTTTTTACATGTACTGTATTTGTATGCTCTTGGATCAATTACTACATCTAAATATCGTTCATATGCTCAATCTTTTACTTAATAAACCTGGTATATTTGGTATAAATGTTAGAGTTAACCGACAATCTATAAGATATAAATCGAAAAAAATACTATTTTTCCTTACTTTTGGGACACCCGGAGGTATGTTAGAATTTTTTTCTAAACGTTTTCATTGTTGTTGTCCTTCAGGTTTTTGTTCTTTTTAGGTTCACTTCATTGTTTCACTCCTTCTTTTTCAGTAATCAGCCAGGTGTCACATATTCAAGCGAAGGAATGAAAAAAATATCATAACAACATGACTCCATATAATGCTTATTGTCATTTTCATATAATGATGTCTGTATGCTTTTTCTTGCCTTCTCTTTAAACATACAACGGCGAAAATAATCAGTCCTTCGAGACTACCGTCCCCAAGCAAAAATCTTTGATGCTTCCAATCCAGATCCTAAATGGATTCGCCAAGGATTGACTCTTTTTTCCGGAGGAAGAGACTCATTTCTGAAAGAAGCGCGTAGCCACGCCGTTCCAAGATCTTGCAAGTGGATACGAGTGTGAATGTGGATGTCACTATCGGTAAGAGCCACACCCATACCCGCTTTGTGTGAAACACAAATGATAACTTAGAAAGCGCGTCGCGTAAACATAATCAACTCAAACATTTCCATATTTCATTACCAGATTGAAATGGATCTGCGCACTTTTCGGAAAATTGCAGAATGTTCGAATAGCTCGTGCGACTCATCACGAAGCTGACAACAATCTTCATTCATTCAACAATAAAATGCAGTTCGGCGAATAAAGATTCAGCTATCGAAGTTGTGAAATTGTTGACAAAGATTGCAGAACGAATACCAATTAATTGTTATAGTTGTTATAATTTTTCATGCTCAACAGTGGAAAATTAGAAATTAGGATGTGGGTGTGGGTGTCGGATGTTGAGAAAACAAAATATCCACACCCACTCTTATTCAGGTTTCTAGTTTTCTTTGGATAGCTTTTAATACGAAAATGTTGTGCATTCCAGATGCCAGGAACGCAATAGAGAAATTTAATCTCGGCTTATTGTTTTATGTGCAAGTCTCATGTACTCCAGGTTTCTGGAAATAAGGAACACCAAACACTATTGCATAAGAGGAAAACAAACAAAGTTTATTGACCTCCAGTATCATTGTCCGCAGGTATGTTGATGTAACAGAGTACTTTTGCTTTTAAACTACACCCACACTCTTATAATTTTGCATTGAAGAAACTAGATCTAGTAGTCTTCGAAATTTATTCAAACGTTGATTAAAAACAAGAAATCAAGAGAAATCATGCAGTTTTTTTAAATATTTATCAAACTCCAAGAAAAAGGGCAGCGTCGTTTGATGAACCAGTGCCTGATATTAAAACCCAAAGGCTAACATTATATAGTGTACCAATCACAGTCGTAAATGTTTGACTGAGATAATCGGCATTCGTTGTACTTCCGCCTACATAATAATAAGAACCTGATTGCGAGCGAAATGTAACAGTAAGATAAGTAAAATTAGATGAATTCGCTTTAACTCCACCACTCATTGATGAATTGTTTTGATCGCAATAAGACCAACTCGTAAGATCACCTAATTCAAAACCCCCATTTACAGTACGTTCCACGTTTGGTGCTGTAAGACTTCGTACCGAAATATCATCAAGTGCGAAGTAACCGTTGCTTCGACGAAGCGAAAACGCAATACGAGTCGTAGTTCCGATTGCTGTATATATTGTAAAATAATTATAATAGCTAGGCACAGTAGGGCAGTTGACACAATTAGCTATCATTTTGATACCACTCCAATTCGCCGTGCATACATTTGATGTTATTGCTAATATTACATTCTAGTAAAATATTATCTATTTCAAAATACTTACTAACAGTAGCCGCAGTAGTTGTTGTAGTCGTCGCTAAATATTTTGGTACACGTATAAAAGTGAATTCTGTAAGTTACACAAGAGACTTACAAGTAGTAGATGCTGTTGTAGTACTTGTTGATGCTTGAATAAAAGACTGAGTCCACTGATATTTTAAATCTACATTCACTCACTTGTTGTGGTACTAGTACTGGACGAACTGGTAGAGCTTGTACTGGATGAACTGGTAGAGCTTGTACTTGATGAACTTGTTGTGCTAGTGCTCGATGTACCAGTTGAAGTTGTTAATGTATTAGACGCTATATCAAGAAAAAAGACATGAACGCAATAACTCTTAATCATAAGATTTTCATTTATCACTATTGGTCCTATATATGTCTTTATGCTATATAATGCCGATTTTTCCGTGCTTATCGTTGATGCTGTGCCGTATATTTATGATGATAGAATGTTTGTTGAATGAAAAATGCATGCTTATTTATACAGAGAGTGCTACTACTTGAATTAGGGATGCACCGCTGAAAGCGGTAAATGGTGAACTAGTAGAGCGGTGAGACCGATGGACAGTGAACCAGTGCACCGATGAAAGGTAAACCGATGACTGATGACTCCGGTGGCCACCGTCACCGCTGCATCCCTAATTTGAATGATACTTTCTTTGTACTAACACATGTGCAGGTATATGAAGGCTTACCCGAATTTCACCAGTAAGACTTTCGCCAACTGGACATTCACCAATGGCGAAAGTCTTATTGGCGAAATTTGGGAATCCTGATATGAATATTGTTTTTTTTTCTTAATTCTTGAAGGTTCCATTTCTTCATTCGTGCTAATTCTCATACTTCAAAACAGTTTTTGTCGATATTTCTCTTGTGGATTTGATAAATGAACATTCCATTATTAGTGGTAAAAGAACCAGTCCTTTTGGTCAAAAGATGGCCGAAATACTTCAACATTTTTGTGCTAAAGAAACTTTTAAGTCATCCTGTAGTGGCTCTTACCGGTAGAATCCATCGCCTCGAATGTGTTAAATGAAAAAAAGAAAACTTTAGTGGAAAAATAAGAATAGTTGTGATGCTATCATAAATAATTCATACTAAAGGTGCAATAACAATACATCAGCAACAGAAAACTAACTATACTTGTTAGCATAGTAGTCGTTGTTTTGGACAGAAGCAATACAACAGGTACTATGATGCTAGCAGTTATAAATAGTACCAGAACCATCGGTAGAATTAGACAAAACACACGGAAAATATTTGAGTTAAGGAATTTCGAATTAGTAGTTGTTTTTTTCGTTGTTGTAATTGGATTAAGTTTAATATTTTTTAGCGGTTCTGCTGGGTGACTTGTAGTGCCAATGAAATTATCATCATTCAACGGTATTATCTTTCACAAAAGAAAATAAAAGACAATCATTAAATTTACTATCAATGTAATAGGTTTTACTTTCGATGGAGATGTCATCGACAGAAACGGTTTGATATTTTTGATGCTCTATAAAATAAACTGAAAGTTAAGTTAATACGAAATTATATGATGGTACTTGAGCTCTTCCGATACGTGAACCCATAGTCTGCTGATGCAAACGGGAAGGACTGTCTGAAGCTTCTTTGATTATAAAATTGGATGATTTAGGCGACCTCGCATGTGTCACTGATATGGATGTTAGCTGGCGTTCTTTATGGTTACTATGTGAAGCTTTCGAAAGGTTGAAACATTTTTCTGAAGATGCTTTGCGATGCTCCACCATTGAAACATAATTTCTAATATTCTTGGTAGGTTTTGGTTTGAACACGTGAACTCGACTTATGCGAACATTTGCTGTACCTGTGTTTGCCTTTAGCAAAAAAATACTACATAATGAAGAAACTAATATCAGGTAATATTTACATATTCATGATGTCGATATTTTAGTCGCTTGACCTTCGTCACCATCACTGACAAAGAAGATTCCATATCCATCTAGATTATGTTTCGTTTGAATCAAATATATTGAAATTTCTCTCTCAATGTCAACAATATAATATGCAAAAAACAATCATACTCAAATATAGTAGATTGAGAAAAAAAAAACAATCTTTTCATTTTTGTACGATGCTTTATGTGATTGGTAGTTTTTAATCGAGTACTTTGACGGTTTCATATTCTTTGAATAAAAAATTGCATACTCAGCAGTATTATTTCTTTATACTTTTGCTGGAATAAATAAATTCTGATTGAATTCATTCTTAAAAAAGCCTTAGAAAAGATATACCATTGCTCACACGCAATGACTTCAGGAAAAGGGTGCATTCAAAAGAACTTTATTCTTTTTATATATTTATAATAAAAAAAGAAAAGAAGAAAAAAGTATCGTCTTATTTCACCATCTTATGAATTAAGATTTATTATTTTGCAACTTTTCTCTTTTTTTTTTGTTCTCTTTACAATACTGAACAGCTGGATCAATCGATGAAGGAATTTTTTACGCTTAATGAAGAGATAGTTTATCAAAATACTCTAAAAAACTCAAGACACATGAAGTGTTATACAAGACAGTTCATGTACTTTTGTAAAGTACTTTGAATGATTTCGTCTGATGGGTGTGGGTGTGCGTGTAGTTATTCTGTTAACCACACCCATTTACACCTACACCCCACCCCACAGCCACACCCACACTCTCTGTATCAAATGCGCATCTAAAATGGACTTCAATATTATTTGATGGATAATTCTACTTTATTCTGCATGGTTTAACAAGACAAGTATTATTTCATATGTGCTAACGCTTCTTCTTGTGAATATATACTTAATGACAAATTAGTTTGTATCAGTATTAACATATAAAACTATGTTTTAATTGGTTTTTAATATAATTTCTATATGCACATTCAATTTAAAGCTGTGTGACAGAGAAAACCAACAAAGAATATAGAAAATAGAAATGTAAAATAAGACAGTTTAAAGCAAATATTCATGATTTTTTACTGGTTTTTGTAAAACACGCTATATAAAAATATAATTTATCCCTTATTTGATGATAATTGTCCAACTTGAAAGTTGAAATCAAATATTAAATATTTTATATTTGAAAATCTGAAACTTCAGTATTCAATTATTTATTTTTCTTACTGATGGTACAATATAGGAATAGTTAAATACCTGACGATACCTTGAATAACTAAATTCAGTTTTCAACTTTGATATTATGGATTTTTCTTGAAATGTAGAATAAAATCATATTTTGAATAACAATGCTGCAGATTCAGATTTTACAATTGTGGATAAAAGATATTCATAACAAATGTCTCAACAACTGTTGGATGTGGATGTAAAGGTTCTCTTTATCCACACCCACACCTACAGAGAGATCAGAAATAATCCGTTATATTTCTAAGATGTTTCATCATCTCAAAGTCTTTTATGATGTTGACCTCACGTAATGTTGTTGCATCATCCTTGTCAAAACATTTATAAGCTCTCAGGCTCGACACATTTCTCTCATTAGTTGGCCTGATACTCAGAATATATTTATCACACGTGATTATGGAAGAAAAAAAATTTTCAAAATATGCTTCTGGAATTTTCGATTACGAATCGAAACAAAATAATGGACTTTTTTCTGACTCCGGTCAGGTAAACATGGACTTTTCTCTTTTACGCTGAAAGAAATTCCATATCTTATAAGAATTGACTTTTAAAGTATTGCACAACTTTGTTGTTAAAATCGAGATACAGTAATGGCATTTTCGGTGTTCTGGAATTTTTTTGTTTTTCACAATAGAACAGAAAAAAAATTTGCAATAAGAATATTTTTTCTGCAATATAAGTAAAAAGAAGCACAACTTATTTTCAGTGTTACTCTCTTTATGTTTGCATGCACGTTCTTCATTTGCCCCAAAATCGCGACTGTGATACTATTAGGAAAAAAGGTTATTTATCGTATATCAGTCAATGAAATGACCACATATGGTGGTGTGTATGCCAACGTAATCTTTTCTCATCGCTTTGAGGTGTGATTCAATATGAAATCAATACTCACAAGCAACAATGAAAACTAAAATAAAGTAATTCGATTTTGTATCCGAAATCATCATTTTGATTCTACACTTTTTACGAAGATCTCTTCAGATGTTTATGCACAATGAATACCGTGTTTCAGTAATTATATAAATTATGTCAAAGTAAAAATATCGAAAAGTAAGAGTTTCTAGCTGGTGAAGTCTCGAATAAAAAAAATATCGAAAGTAAAATCGTCGAAATAAGTGTTCTTATAATAGTTCTAATGTTTGACATTACAATCGATAATGTGTAAACATGAACACAGTGCGTTTTTTGTTGAAATATTCAAGACTAACACAAGTGTCTATGGAGACATTTCAGATCAAAACTTTTTTTTTCTTGAAAGTACCTTATTTTTGTTAAAAACTTCATTTAATGGTCCTAACTCTATAACAGTAAGTCAAAGCTTGAAAACTTCGCGGGAAACTTGTACGAAAAAAAAATAAAAAATATTCATAGTAATTATCGGGATGTTCCTTATGTATGATTTCGAATGTGTCAAGTTGTTGTCGTTCATTTGACATGTTGAAATTTAAGACGCTGATAGTGTGTTTTAGTGATGTCATCAGATGGTGATTCAGATTTCACCCGTAGAAAGCTTCGTACCTTTTTAAGAGCATTGCTAGAGAGTGCGTATTCCGTGCAATTCTTTTCTTACCACGGTAGTATTCTTATTTATTTAATAAAAATATCCTATCAGTTGAAAAATTAAACTTTGTTTCTAGCATTTTATTACATCAAATAAAACATAATTTATCATCATTTTCTGGAAGTGGTCATTCATGTAATACTTTTGGTAAAATATGTTTTTAAATCCTTTTTTGTTGTATCTTATCTTTATTAATTTAAGCTTTATGTTCTATTCATCTTTCCAAAAGAATATCCAAGTCCTTGTTCGTAAAGACAACTGTATTGGTATAAATTCTCTCATAACAAATGTATCATTACAACAATTTCGTCAGATGATTGGTTTTTGAACGTAGTTCAGGTTTAACAACTATAAATGATCGAAAAAATCGTAATAATAATAACAATAATCTCCATCAACAATCATCCTCATCTGCATCATCATCATCGTTACCAACATAAAATATTCGTCTTATCTTATCAATGCGTTTAAACAAGAATTAAATAAAATATTAAATCAACAAGGAGCACAATCATTCTCGACAACATTTATCGATGATATCGTTTTCATTTCATATGTTTTATTTTTATTTGAAGTTTTCTATAACTATTTCTTTAATTTAGACGATATTATGTCAATGTCATCAGCAATCAATAATGCTAATTTAAGATCACATGTAACAACATGTCAAGAAATTAGGTAAAAAGTTATTTTTCATTTTATTTCTGAGTTATTCTAGAATGATCTTTTATTTAGTTATTTTCGATCTAGCAGGTACTTTTGATTTTGCAAATGGTTTTTGTCGTATAGTTCATTTATAACTAAATTTTTATTTTTGTATATTAGACGCATTGGTGTAGAAAATACATGACGTAAGTTATTATTCTTTCTTCCATTAATAATATTTTCACGGTATTCAAATTGTTTAGATATTGCTATTGAAAAATGTTATGAACAGCTTAATTATATTCGTGATAGTTATGCAAAAGTAAGTATTATAATTTTTATTCAATAAGATATCAAACAAAGTTATACGACATAGAAAACAGTTTCTGTTGAATAATTCTCCTCTCAGAAAGCTGACTGGTTTTTCGGATGTGAAAGGAAATACTACGACAATCGGCAATGCCGAATAAACACAATATCAATAATATATATTTCTGTCAATTAAACAAGAGCATTTCTACATGAATATTCAATCATGAAAATCTATTTCACGTTTGGTATGTGTAGACTGAATCAAAATTTGATATTCAACTGTTACATAAATCTGCATCATCATCTATGATTGATATAAAAGATACAAATTTTCAAAGTCTTTCAAATAATCGATCATGTGTTGGTCGTTTAAATGCTGAATATTATTATGAATATAGTCGAGTATGAAAATTTTTATTTATTTTTAATTTAAATCATAAAAATTATTCGAGTAGGTAATTCATTTGCATGATCAAATTAAAGAGTGTTTGAGTATTCAACATATTGAAGCAATACAAGAAACTCTTGATGAATGGCTTAATGCAATTAATATGCTAAAAAAATCAATGTTGACAAGAAATTGATAATGCAACTAAAACATGTTCCAGTGAACTACATTTACCTAATGAAAAAGGTTTATTTTCTTTTTGCGTAGTTTTGTGTGTGTGTAGAAATCAATATAATGATTATGATCAATTGAAATTATTTTATCTATGATATGAATATTTAAACGTATATTGATGAAGACATGATTATACGATGAAACATACATAGCAGCAGAGCCGATTGCTGCCACTACTAAATATACATTTTCGGATGTGATAAAAAGGTAATCGTACAAATATTATCAACCTATTTATAGTTAATGTTGACAGATGATTGAATAGATGACGTTTATGATCAACATGTGTGCAACTTTAACGATCACGTTTTCGAAGTTTTGATGAGTAACAACAGATTAAACCAAACAGAGAAACATTGTCGCTATGATCATTTTCATGGGATAACATCGATGTATCGAATGAAGTAGAAGAAAAGGTCTAATATTTAAAGATATTTTTATAATTAAAACAGTCATCAGTCCGATAAAGTAGAGATTGTAATATATACACACTTATTTTTTTCGGTTAAAACTTTCAGAATATTCTACAAGTCGTTCAACTGCGCTATGGGTAGACGTAGCAATTCTTTTTTCTTTCGATTTTTCGGTATATAATTAAATCTGAGCAAAAAATTCAGCTAAATGATCCTAACTTAGCCCTAAAAACTCATCGGAACAAATCTTCCTAGATTTTTCTTAGTTTTGAGAAGGCTTCATTTTAAGTTAAATATCAACTCAAATAATGAGTATTGATTTCGGTAGTCATTTTGCAAGATAAAGAGAGCTAGTTAATTTCTCTAATCCCATAGAAACGAATTGATCATCGGTAATTTGATTCTGTTGTTGAAAATTATTGAGCTATGATCTGTAGCTTCCTTAATGTATATGTGATATAAAATAAAGCCAATAAAAAACTCAAGAGTAGAAATGCTTTATGAGAAAACTTTGACCATTTTAAGATAGAACGTAATTTTAAAAATTTTCTAAATTTTTTCTGATATTTTGTTAGAATTTTAATAAAGGAAAGCATATTCTTTTTGAATGAAGTAGATTCTATGGTTATTCAATTTCTATAAGATTTGTTGTGCTAGTTTTGCGGTTTTATGAAGTACCAAAATGTTGTTCTTGCTTAGTCGTCTTTGTATAGTTTCATATTTAAACATTTACGCATTATTTATTTATCACGTACTGAGTATTTCATTATTTGGCAAGATTAGCTTTAGTTAAGGTCTTGAAAATGCAAAATTTCTACAATTTTTTTTTCCGTAATAGCTATACACGCTTGAAAAGAGTGCACCAAGTTACTTAAGAATAATTAATTTTCTTACTTCGACTAGGATTTTCTTCCTGGAGAAAACTTTTTGCACAAAGAAAAATTGATAAAACAGTCATTGTTACTGCTTTGGAGAGATTAATCGGCAGTTTTATTTAATAGTGTCTTTTCAAATATGTGAAAATGTTCTTTTCTAATTCAGCACATCAAATTGACTATGAAAACATATGTTAACATATGTTTTCATAGTCAATTTGATGTACTAAATTAGAAAAGAACATTTTCACATATTTTAAAAGACACTATTAAATAAAACTATTGATTAGTTCCTTCAAAACAGTAAAACTGACTGTTTTATCAAATTTTCTTTGTTCGAAAATTTTTCTTCTAGGAAGAATCCTAGTCGAAATAAGACAATTAATTTTTCTTAGGTAACTTGGTGCGCTCTTTTCAAGCATGCATAGCTATTACGAAAAAAAAATTCTGGAAATTCCGCAGCTCCGAGTCCTTAGAAAACTTCAACTTCATATAATTTGGTTATCGCTTTATTTTTGCATATTCTTTGATGACGCATTATGCAGTTTCACTCTCTTTCTGTTCTACTTATAAAGGTAATAAAGATTTGAGAATTGATCTTTCAGTTTCTCCTCATTCTTTTCCTCTTCAGAAATAATTATATTGATTAACTTTAATGATATTCTTTTTTTTTATGAAAATATTAAAACGTATTTATATATTGAAGAGATTTGCATATTTAGTTGAACATGTATTCGATAGTACCAATAAATATTATTTGAAAGCGAAAAAAAAAATCGCATGATTATTGACAACTTTCTCTATGCGTAATAATAAATACTGAGTCACAATTTACCCAATACAATATGAATCAACAACGTCTTGTCGTTTTCTTTCGTTTTGAAAGAGAACAAAAAAAAAAAGAATAGACTGAAGTCAGCGCCTAAGAGAAAACTTTTTCTTTCTCTTACGTAGCATCTATCAAAAAGGTAGAAAGTTTCTTTTTCGAACAGGAAGAAATTTGATTGATATAACATTATGTCTAATTAATTTTCATTTTAGTGTATCAAATATTCTTACTTCCTCCTATTGGGCATGGAATCCGCTTCAACTTTCAGCTTCCACCGTGAAATAATCGATGAAGATGATTCATCTCTGTATACTTCAGTACGCTTTGCAAATGGAATGGTAAAAACGATGGATAACAAACGCTTACATCCTTTAGTGGTAGATTGTATTCGTCGAAATCAGAGTATACATAGTGAAGTGCCAGGATATGATATCAATTGTAAACCTGATGCTGAAGCTAATTCTAAAGCTGTTAAAGTTTATTGTGATGTAATTAAGAAAGGCAAATTACAATATGAAGAACTATTGATTCGAGTTTTAGCTATGGTGTGTCGTCTAGTAATTTACGTTATTTCTATAGTAAAACCCCAACAAAATAATATCAATATTAATGTTCGAAAATATTGTGAAGATGTAAATTCATTTAAAGAATGTATTTGTATTGTTTATGACGAAGAAAAGAAACATTATGATGCTCTATGCATGGTTAAAAATGCCTATGGACAAAAAGAAATTAAACCTTTTGAGCGTGATGGTGCAACTTTCAAACTTTTTTGCAAATTTATTTTAGAAGAATATAATTGTAAGAAAAAAAGATATAAACATGATAATGAAAATGTTTTTTCTCTGGCTATATTTTTAGATGACGTTAATATGCAAAAATCACTTAATTATAATCAAAATATTTCGACTGAACCATCAACTAAAGAAAACAGTTAGTATATTATATTACTAATATTATTTAGTATTGTTTTTATCTTTTAGATTTGAATGAAACCGAAAGAATAGTTGAGTTGATCCGACCAAATGCTGATACAAACTCATTAAATAAACGCAAAGAAATAAGTAGGAAAATATTGATACCTGTTTTTTTTCTCTAAATTAAAATATTGAACAGATCATGCCAACCTTACATTTGCTCGAACTCTTGAACAACATTCATCACCATCGACATTGGATAAAAATTATGGTTAACTATTATTATTTATTGATCTTTATATTTGATAACATGTCTTTTATAGTTTCTAGCAAACGAATAAAATTTGATAAATCTGATAGTTTTGAATCATCGTCATCAAGTAAGTTTATCATTTTATAGTTCATATAAATCATAATTCAATTAGATAAAAATAATGGTGAATCATCAACTAGTGACAAATGTTCACAAGTAAATGTTTTCACTAATAAAGCTAGTATGTATAAAATATGAAAATTTTTCTCTCGATTATCAAAATAACTTAAGTTCTATCCAATGAAGATGAATCAAAAAGAAATCTTCAAACAGTTTCCGATAATGTGCATGGAGTAGAAACAATGCAATTTGAAACTGAGCTTGCTGAGAAATTTCGTGGCCGTTATTCAAGTGACTTTGAACCAAAAAAAACAAAAAAACCTAACGAAAAACCATCAGAACCAGGAGCACCGCGTTATTTTGCTGATCGAAACAATCGAAATTATCTTAGTCTACTGGTTTGCGCTTATCTTAAAACATTCAACAATACAATTTCTTTTTTCTAGATCCCGAATGCATATTTATTAGCTGCTGTTCTTGGAATTCGTCTTGAAATTTGTATAGTAACACGGGAAATTGATGGTTATACGTACTATCATCCATATTTCAAATTTCAAGAACATCATATGGGTACTGAATATCCAAACGGCAATCCGATATATATAGTTCTTGATAGTTCACTTCTATCCATTATAAGCGACCAAAGACAAAAGCCTGGCGAACGTAGAAAAAAGAGAGCAATTGAATTAAAAGAATATTCACAAGCATTTAAACAATTGATGTAATTATTATTTTATTTTAATTGATAAATATAATACCACTGACGAGAGTCCATGCATATTGTACAGTCATTTGTTTTCATGGTCAAAAGAAAGTTTGTTTTTTTTCATGATGAGAAAATCACCAAAGATATACTCAAAGCTTTTACCTCTACTCTGTCAATACAAATTATTTAGTTGAGTAAGTGCATGCAGTGTCATGTGTTGAATGTAGGTGTGGGTATTGCTTCATGATTGGCAGTACAACTATAATATCATCCAGTCACATTCTAAACCATGCATACGCCCAACATTTTAAACATTGACCTTTAACTCAGAAGCAGACACATATAAACTGAACATTATATCTATTATAAAATTATATTTTAGACTTCCGTTAGTCGTCGCTATGCTTAAAAATAATGAGTTACTGCAATGCGATCAGCCATTGAAAATTTTTTCATTCCGAAATACTGGTGATCGTAAGTTAAAAGGTTTTCATTAAAGTTTATTAAATATGAATTTATTTATTAGATGGAGAACCAATTATAAAAACATTTGATTGCCATGAGACATTTAAATCAACTTATCATCTTCATGATCTTCGCTTTGCAATAACTCCATGGATTAAGCAATCTGATGAAGAAGGATTTAAACGACATGTTGATAAACAATATATTAGTCAAATTTCAACAGAAGATCAATCTTGTAAGAAAACTAAAATAATATATTCAAGTTTGCTATTTATTTCTTTTTCTCTTTTAGACACAATTGTAGGAAATAATGCATAAAAACTATTTAGCCATTTATTAATTCTTAATTTCGTTCTGATAGAATTTTTAATGGCATTAAAAATGATGACTAGCTCTTATGTACTTTTTTTCATTTGATTTTGAATGATTCAATTTTTGTTCTTTTTCTCAAATATTTATTTGTAATTTCATGTTTAAGAAACAATCAAACAAAGTGAAAATGATGCCCAATTTTTTTAATAATTATATTTCATATAAAACGCATCAATGTCTTGTCTCAAATGTTACATAATTGAATAAACGAGTTACACATAAACAGATTTTCCATAAAAAGAAAATAATAGTGAAACTCGAGCTTCATGAGTATTTTTACAACTATTGTAGAACCTAACGATTTCAAGAAAAGTAGAACCTAAAGTCGAATAGAAGCTGGAATTTTTCAGCAGCTCTTGCCTGAATTTGTAGAATAAAAGCGATTGGAATCGTAGATATTTTCCATGATAAATAGTGTGCTATTCGTGCGTTCAATTATCTATTTTAATCTAGAGATGTGAGTCAATGTTGACATGAGCAGTCAATTCGACTTATTTCTCTCACTTCCATAGACTTAAACGTCAATCACATAGCTAAAAACCTAGTGATAATGCACTTAACTAGATCGAATTTTAATCATTAGAATTGATAAAGAAATCATTTATTTATTTGTCTCTAAAAAAGAGAGAAAAATTTTTATAGGTAATTGTAAATCCTGATGTAAATAAAATATTTTTCGGAATGACAACATTCGTGATTCAAAACAAGCTTGTTAGCGCAGCCCATTTGGGACTGAAATATGGAACTCACATATACTCTCTAGTCTCATTATACTAATACAAAAAACGTAAAATGAAAAATCTCTCGTAAACTATAATCGTTTTGCAGGATAATTAATTACTGAAGTAAAAACTTCTTCAATTTCTGCATTTCGAACAAATCTTTTTATGTTTTGTTTTCATTGCTATTCGCTCATTATTTTTCGTCTTTCTTAATTTATCATTCTTATTATTATAATTATTGAATTGATTGACAAATAAGTGTGTTTTACAGATTTATGATATGGACAGCAGATCTTACACACTATCAGATATATTAATCAAGTCACAAATAATGATATTCATTATTTTTCAAAATTATAACTTCATCAATTTTCCAAAAACAACTCTAGAAAATCTAACATCTTTTATTCTCGATTACTAAGATCTGTAATGGGGACTTCCGTTACTATGGTGTCTGTAATGGAGAGGGGGACGAGAAGGGGAAGCAGCGAAAACTTGACCTTAAAACTTACACTCACTATTTTCTTCAACAATATATGTGAGTTCCACAAAATGTATCCCTTCTTCTTCTTCTTCTTCTCCTCATCTAACGTATGTGATGGGTATATTTTGTGTTCGGTGCTTTCAGCGTTCGTCAGCTGTTGCTATGATAAATGCTGAATGTATCAACTATTCGCTTCCATCCATCACAATATGTATTTCAATTTCATTTACCTCTGAAAAAATGCTTTGGACATGTTTTTTTTTCGGTTAACACTGATCGAAATCACATATGTTTTTAAGTATATACCTTTCAAGACAAAGAAAAGAGAAAATGAAATGCAAGAATGTGAAATGCTGCCAGTTGTGAGAACAAATTGCTTATTATATTTCATTTTAGAAGATTAATGAAGAGTTCTCATTAAAGTTTTGCAAATCCACTGAAGAGCCGTCAGCGGAGAAACATACGATTTGTCCAAGCAAGATTTCTCATGTTCATAATTTTAAATAAGCAAAAATTAGGATCGAATTCGGATGCAGGTGGATGTGAGTGATAGTGTCATCCTCCTGTACGGCGACCAACACCCAAACCCAAAAATGATTAAACGGTATAAGTCCAACGTTGCTTTTCGCTCGTTTTTTAAAGTCGGCTAAGGATAATCCCTAGCCGCAATAAATTGGAAATGCCCTCCTCTCATAAAGAGTGTCTTGTTTTTTTGTGTAGTTTCAATTTTTCGGTGTACATCACAAAGAAAAAAAGGGTGTGGGTGTGGGTCTATGACGTATGGGTGAGGGTGTTAAGGAGCAGAAGACATAACCTACACCCACACCCTTTTGAGCAAAGAACTCTAAATACTAAAAGATGTCATGATATGCCGCTGAAATATAAATAGAACAGCATTTGGTAGCATAAATGAAACTATTGTAAAGCATTATTCTCGGGTAAGAGACGGTTGGTATCCCACCAAGAAGACCTTCATATAGTATTGGAGCTTTGGAAGCTGTGGATATGTGCTGAGTAAGAATACTATTGAGAAGACTAGGCATGCCATCATTTCAATGCAGAAGACAGATTACTATTACAATCTTGTATCAGTCATACTTTTTCGACATTAGATACCGCTTTGCATGATAAGGTCATTAACAAGCACACTCGACATGTGTCAGGTGAGACTTGATGTTTTCACGACTACTGATCGACGCCTTGAACCTTTTATAGATGAAAGTCAATAACTCCTCATTTATGTCTGTGCCTTTCAAATACGAATAAAAATGAGAGAAAAAGAGATGGCTTCGAATGTTTATCGTATATTTTAAGATATATTCATTGGGTACGGATGTGGATAAAAATATTTATTAATATGATATGTTAATATGGCATAAACGTTTATTTCTTTTTGAATAAACATNAATGTCTAATAAAAATTTTTAGACAAGTAGCAATTAGTTTCACACAAAAAAACCTTCCTTGTTACATTGCATTCAAAACGGCAGGAAGCACGGCGTTTATGTAGCACTTCGTTTTACTTCCTAAACCGTATGCATCGAAAGTTGTTACTTTTTGTCGTGATGAACTCGAAAATAAAAAGCCAGAAAATATCCATTCGAATAGAAGATGAAAATATCGACTTTTAATCAACACCATACTTTCTCCGATCTTTATCAATATAGTTTGTCCACAGGTAACGCATTCATCCATTTTTTTGACCTTTTGATTCCTACAACTCAAGAGTCGTACGTCGCAAAGAGCTGAAACTTATAGTTTCACAAGGTAATTGGAAGATCTACCTTTGCTGAAAATTTGACTTCATTTGATTGTAATATGACAGTTTTAGAGGTTCAGGAAAGCGTGGTAACGCACTCATTCAAAAGGCCCCTTCTTGCAAGATCCATGCAAAGAAGTTTATATTCCTACAAATTTATGTGCTCGAAAGAAAATATTTTCATATGAGTTTGGAACTAAGATGATAGGCTTGGTAACCATGGAATTTTATTATCGAAAGATTGTTTCTGTAAAGAGTTATTAGTGAAGCATTGCGGTAACGCACTCAGTAGTTGGTAACGCATTCAGCAGGATTTTTTCAAGTTTTTTTTTTGAGTGATAAGGTTTATCCACCAAAACTTTGTTCAAAGGGTTCCTGAGCAAGTCAAAACGATTTCTATAGTGAAATTCTTTTATTTCTTTCATAAAAAATACACTTTTCATTATAATTGAAAAATAACCATCGTGCATCGTTACAGACGGAACAGATATATTTCGCGAGTAGACTGACAAGAAAGAAACACTTGACAAAAGAATTCACAGAGAAAATAACATCCGAATGAAGAAATGCGTGTAGTAATGAACAAATAAAACTAACCTGGACCTCTAAATCCAACCTCACAAATAATGAGTCCATGACATAAATGAATTATAAAATAATTCAGATTTATATCGATTCTGAGTTGAAGCTTCAATACGAGTTACATTAGTAATTCTATTGATTTGATCCAATACTGAGAATCAGAGTTAAGAAGAACTTACTAGGAATTACCAGAGACTAGAAGGAGTTACCAGAGATTATCAAGAATTACTAGAGATTATAATGGATTACAGATTAGATGCGTTTTACGGCTTTTGTTGGAAATCTGATAAACACAGAGGTGCGACATATACAGATATAGAGATACATGAGATATAGAGATATAGAACAGATTTAAAGTTGTTTCTTCATAATTCTAAATGCTGATATAATATTTATTCGATAATTTATGATTAATAAAATGGTACCGGCATACGAGCAAGGATAAAAAAATAATTAACTTGAACAACCTAACATTGATTTTTAAGAGTTGAGAGTATATCTCTATATCATCTGTATCTCGCGTTCCTGAGTTTAATCGGATTTCCAGGAAAGCCGTAAAATGTATCTAATCTGTAGTTCCTTATAGTCCTTTGTAATTTCTGGTAATCCCTAGTAATATCTGGTAGTACCTCGTGGAAGCTAATAACAACTGAATTATTTTACAATTAATCTTTTTAAAATTATTTTGTAACTCATTTATGTCATCCAGTGAAGGTCGTGTCATCTGCTACCTTACTATAAAGAGCAAAGAATATGACGATAAAGAAACTTTCATCATGAAAATGATCGGAAAACACTGGATAATTCATAGTCCATATATCCCATACTTCTGCAAAACAAAGGTAGCTGAATTGTATTGTAGTGAGCATTGAATTAATATCCATATCAAAAGAGGACACAACCGAGCTCATATTTCATGATCAGTAGTCTAATTAATTGTTAGACGTACAAAGTTCGCACGAATGCGTTACCATTTATTGTCCTAAGGGATATGATTATGAAAAGTTCTAAAAGGTGCATATGATAGTGCGCCAAAAGTTACCTAAAAACAAATAACTCCCATTAAAAATGTCTCACGTAGTAGCAGGATAAATGTGAAAAAAACCCTCTAAATGGTAACGCACTCACCTCTCTTTTGGTCAAGTTTTGCGAGTCGATCTTTTTAAATTAAGAAAGAAAGTGGTATTTTATTAGACATCCTAAAATAAACTCGATCTAGTGATGATTCTTTCCATATCATAGCTATTTCATAAAACGTTTCACATCATCTGCTGAGAAGCTTTTTCTTTACACTGTTAAAAAATATAATAATAAAATTAAATTATACCTTATGTTTCGGTTTCTCATTCTTTTTCCAGATAAAGTGAATGGAAAAACAAGACCCATATACCTATACAGT